AAAAAAAAAAAAAAAAAAAATCCATACATTTACATGCCGTGCACAATATAACTAAACCTATGTATCTTAATTCAACACTTGCCACATACAAAATGGCAAGCTTAAAAGAATAACAGCAATTTTCTGCGTTACCCCTATCATGTATGTCTTTTTGCTGGTATTATGTATATAATGTTGTGTTGTTGTTGCTGTTGCTGTTGTTGTTGTGTCCTCTTCGATAACCGATGATTTCGTATAGAAAGTTACCAAATGGACACAACATGGACAGACGACTCAATATCCCATTTCCAAATCCATTTCAATATCGATTCGGCAACCATCGGATGACCACGTGTTCTCGAGGTCAAGGTCAAGGTCAAAATCTGAAGAAAAAAGTGATAACAAGTTATATGTACGGACCTTTAAGGATGTTTCTGCTAATTGTTAATTAAAAGCCGTATTAATGCGAATCGCTTCGTATCGTCTGCAGGTGTAGTGTGTAATTTTTTTAATGTAACGACAAGGTTAAATGCAAATTAGTGTACATTAATTGTAGTTTGAAAATTAAAATCGTAACTTTAAGAAAGGAAACAAAAAGTAGCGTAGCATGCTAATGTACGGAAGATGAAAATATTCAAATAGAACTTAATTATATAATTGAAGAAATTAAAAATTGAAAAAGATACCAGTAATTAATAGACACTTTATTATTGGTGCCAGATTAATTTAGGTGTCGTTTAGAAGGTGCCCTTTTTGTTGTTATTATATTAATAACCCATTACCTTTTACATTAAGCCTTACCTCCCACGGACTTCAAGTAAAACGTGAACATTGCAAATATCTACTCACTTTCCGTCGAAAACCGAGGAATAAAAGTCAAGGTGCTGGATTCTGTAAGGCTTAATTAAATAGTCTTTAAGTTAAGTATCCATAAAGAATTTTATTGACTTGGATCACAGCGCGACTCATGAACACGTTAATGAACGAAAGCAGAATAACAAGGGGTAAGTTGAACCATTATACTATGTATACAGTGATAAAGCCAAAATCGTGAATCAGTGATCAACACACTTTTGTGGATGTAGAGTTGACCCAAAAAGGACACAAAAACTCGAACTCCACATTTTGATTTTTACAAACACTATCCGTTATAATTCAATGCTTTACTTTATACTCTACTGCATGGTACTACCTTTGACTCTCAAAAAGTTTTCCTCGATGGCCTTTATCACATACCTGTCACAACGAAAAAAGTAAAGGTCATATTCACAGCCAAAATTGATTCGCGGACTAACAGATCCGCGGATCGAATATGGCTAACCCACTTTTGAAAGAATGCCGCTTGATCCCTGCGAGGAACCTAAAGAGTGTCTATCAAGTGGTTATGCGGCAAGCTTTCAAGTGGGTCGGCCATATTTGATCTGCAGATCAGTAAGTCCGCAGGTAAACAGGTTGTGAATGCTGCCATAGTTTGAATGATGCATTGCCAGAGAGAAGCGTTGCGAAGCTTTACCCCATTGTACTCTTGGAAAATGGAATCAGCATGTCTCCTGGGCACTTGCATACTGTTTTCTCAGTCTCTCTTTTCCATTATTATGCAGACAGAAACCATTCACCATGCTGTGGTAGGAGTATATAATTCTTGATATACATTTACAAACAATACACCAACCATGGACAAATCGCAGTATGGCTTCACCAAATACCAAATGGGCAATGGTACCATAAATTAAATGGTTCAACTTGCCCCAAGGTAACTGGTTCGATCTTACCCCTATTTCACCATACCAGAAGCTGAAGCAAGATATGAACAATTATATAGGCCTGTAATAAGACCTCATACCTGAAAGAGACGAAGTTGAAAACTTTTAATGGCGTTTCTGACATTTTTACAAAAAATCACATGGAAGTAATTTACAACCAATTTCGCCCATTTCCTTTAAATGATCGCCACTCAACTCGCCCTTTAGGAATATACTGAGCGCGATTCAAAAATGTACCTTGCTTATAGTTCCATCAAGACCAAGTTCATTTAAGAAAATATCAATATCTGACTCCAGGTAATTCCGAAGGTGCTTCCTAAGATTGCCTACCTTTAAAATTCTTATAACAAAATTTTGATATGTTTTCTGGACGTTTTTTTTTCTTCTGACGTCTTTGGAAATGTTTCCCTTTACAACCTTTAAAAATGTTTTGATGTCTTCTGTTCTTACTCCTATATTCGTCAGTTTCAAACTTACTCGACGAAGGACTCGTGCATTTTAAGTATAAATAAATATATTCATCAGAAGATTTTATCTTAAACAAAGGTCATGCTCAGACATCAGAAAGAGGGTTTGATTTATAGATTAAAATGTGATCAATAAGCAGGTTAATACAATTGAAAAATGAAGTTGAAACTTTTCTTTGAAAATGTTATTTTTATGTGTGTTTGCCTGTGTATTTTCAAGATTTGCTAATGAATGGTTACTGTGAGTGAAGCGATTCGCATTAATAGGGTTATTAGCCTACACTAGATATACGCATACATAACCCATACACATATAGCTAACGTAGGCTAATAATCTTATTAATGGTTATATACATATATATAATAGCCATCCATACATTAACAAACTTTAAAAGGTTACGCAGCAAACATACAGTGGTTTTTCAAGACAAGTTCGTCATTTCACTGTTCAGTGTGCCTCGTTCAGTTTGAAGAAAACCGGTGTGTTCTTAACTAAATCCGACCTCATTCTGCCAATCATGGACATAATAATAGGTCCAAGTGCCAATAAAATACATCGGTGAAAAATATTACTTGGCGTTTACCTCACCAAGCTGCCGAAGAGTTTTTTTCTGTAAACAATATTTATATTTATACTAAGTGTTTCTTCTGTATCGTTGACTTCATATGGTCAAGGTCTTCAAGGATGATGCAAATCTTGGAAAAAAGACAATTATATCCAAACCCAGTGCTTTGGTTTTGTGCAGGACAAATTCTGTGAATTACATAAATTAATTGAAAATTATAGAATTGTTTTACAAAGCTATAAATATGTAATCTTAGTTAATGAAGTTGGTGTCAACTGCTTAACCCTGGACAAGCTTTAAGTTTGGACAGTTAGTAAAATATTTACGTTAATACCAAAATGAGGAATTAAACCTTTTCTTCTTGAGAGTACAGCTTAATATATGTTAAGCGTTTAAAAGTAAAATATTTTCATCGAAGTAATACAACTTTTAGATCGAACTTGCTACCAATACTTAGCGACGCCACACTACTTTTATAGCTTATCTAAACTAATGGCTTTTGATACAGATATTACTATTCTCACAGGTGGCAACTGGAGACTTTTGATGCGCTGACAGAAATTCTTGCTGATCTTCAATAGCTCAACATTGGCTGACCTATTAAAAAACTTTTGCTGTTGAATTCTTTTCATATTGGAGGGTTCTAGTATTTAACAATGAATATAACATTCTGACAAGTCAAAAACATGCAATAATATAAAAAATGTGTCACTGGCATGTCTCAATGGTTCACTTTTTTTGTGGGATGTCCCAAATCAAGTCATTATAACTGGCCAAGTGACCATAGAATTTTGGATGGCCGCAGTGGATTTTGAAATCTTTGTTACGAGACAAATTCAAACACCACTAAATGTTATAAAGCATACCGTTTACAATGTTTCAGCTAACTTATAATTAAATTTTTGGTGCTACTAGGAAAAAACTGGAAGCTGAGTTTGTGCATCAGAGCTAAAATTGGCAGAAAGATTAGGCTTTTAAGGGATGCGCGATGTAGGCCTTTTTATAGAAGAGGACACTAAAATCCTTACGTTAAGAATACTATGTATAAGCATAGACTCAAAGTTTTAATCGTCAATGAAACACACCTTTCTATTTTAAGGTGAGATATCAATCGTATGGCGCATAACTTCATCGCTGAACAAAATTTTATCACAAAAACTTACATCGTCGACTACAAGTGTATGAGCTTTACCCCCGTGCCGCCATTTTGGTTTAAACCTTTTTGTTATTGTTTATGAGCCCCTAATTACAAATTTTCATTAAACAAAGTCATTATTTTGCTTTATCAAACATAAAATCCGAGCTGAGGCTTTTAAGAAAAATCTCTTGCGGGTGTCATTAAATTATATCTAAAATGTTCGTGGGTGCTCAGGCAAAGGAGAAATTTTAGAAACTGATTTTCCATTCTCACCCCAAAATCGAAATTATGACATTACCCGTAAGAAGAAAGTGTGTAAATGTTATTTGATTTAGTCGCTGAACACTGAAGATTTTTTCTGTTATCCAAAGGAATGTATGTAAGGCAGTAAATAATATTTTGGCAGTATCCTTAAGCACTTTTTCAGGATTTGCGTCTCATTTATTTGCAGTGGCTGACAAAATTTAGTTTTTTGATATTTTCTGTCAGACTGATACGACCCAATTTGTCAAACCGGCATGTCGGCATAGATTCATTAACCGTTGGTAAGTTTGGGAATATCCCCGTTTACTCCTGGAAAACCCAATTTAGGCAAAAACGAACAGTTGGTATCCCTTTAATAGAAAGAATTATATATATATATACTGTGCTTTTATACAAGTGTCCATGTAACACTCGAGAGCTTTTCATTTCCCACATTCAAAAGAGAAACTACATGTAAGCTGAAGGATTGGGGACATATGATTTTTTGTGATATCCTCGTGTGATTTTCTCTATAACATGACAGTTAGTCCCGTCTTGACATTAGTTTCTGGTAAATATATTTCTAATAAGTCGGACCTGTGAGCCGTTTCTCGCGAGAACAAAACTATTTCCAAATTATAGGATTTAAAAGTAAGTATATTGGAGAACACTAAAGGGGGCCTAAAACAATTAAATGCAATACAAAATACGTGTGCATATTGTGTCAATTCGCATAGTACGAGAAAAAGAGAATATATACTGTGATTTAAAATGGAATCACTGTTCCTTGATGGTTAAAATCTTTTTTTTTTTTTTTTTCTTTTTTTTTTTTTTTTTTTTTTTTAGCGTCAAGCCTTAACCAAGNATGATTTTTTGTGATATCCTCGTGTGATTTTCTCTATAACATGACAGTTAGTCCCGTCTTGACATTAGTTTCTGGTAAATATATTTCTAATAAGTCGGACCTGTGAGCCGTTTCTCGCGAGAACAAAACTATTTCCAAATTATAGGATTTAAAAGTAAGTATATTGGAGAACACTAAAGGGGGCCTAAAACAATTAAATGCAATACAAAATACGTGTGCATATTGTGTCAATTCGCATAGTACGAGAAAAAGAGAATATATACTGTGATTTAAAATGGAATCACTGTTCCTTGATGGTTAAAATTTTTTTTTTTTTTTTTTTTTTCTTTTTTTTTTTTTTAGCGTCAAGCCTTAACCAAGCGATATGATACAGAAGAGAATTTTACAGCATTTATATTAGCTAGATAGATAGATAGAAGAATTCCTAGGATTTGCACTGTTTGTACCTAATGTTCACGTATATGCTTATAGGCCAGCCTGTAAAACGTATTCGTCTGTTCTTTCTTGCTTGGTTTACTCGCACTATATATGTACCGAATGAACCTTATTTGAGCCCATGAGGAATGTTCAGGATATTTTGATGACAGTTACACTTATAATTCAATTATAGCACGCATTCTCCCCTTCTGGTTAGTCGGTTAACATTATCGACTGCGTTCGCTTCTGCGGTTTTCGGATCACAATATTATTGCATAATGCGCAGAATGTGATTACATCTGCAGTTTTGCTTTCTCGACAACTTCTATGTTTCTTTACTGAATGCAGGCTTCTTTATAATAGAAAAAAGGGTACGAATAACCTTTTGCATATTAATATTTATCACAAATATGCCATGATTCAGTTTCAATAAAATCGTCATGTAGATACAATTGCTCTGCTGGTGAGTGAATCTATGCGAGCAATCACGTCGTATTGATTTCCAAGCTCGGGCCACGGGGAATTCCTTCTTACAGTACGGAAAGTGTAATCCGTGGGCCAGCTGATACCTGGCTTATGTAACACGTAAACAACAATCAATTTCCATTATAAACACGGATATTATACTATCTAAGTAAATATATATATTGATCTAGATACGATAACGAAATTACGAGCCCATTAGTGGAAAAAACAATGCAAATCAGATCTTAATTACACCCTTCAAGATATGTATGTGTCTTACGTTAATTAAATCACCTAGGGGCTAATGACTGAGATAGCACGGTTCAGTGCAAATAATTATGGTCAAACAGTCGTAAAATAGAAAGGCCAGAGTTTAATTTCCTTACTTCAATATAAGGAAAGGACGGCGAGTGCTAACATTGTTATATTACGTTGGATGTCCAGAAAAAATGACACGGGTGGGAATTTGTATTGAATTTTTAATCAGTTGGTATAAGACATGCTTCTCACTTTCAGTGGACAGATACGTGCTAATTACCGTAACATCCAAAGCGTTAATTAATAACTGTCCCTGTTATTCCTCCAAGTCCGAGTTCTCAATAGTCAGAAAAACTGGACATTCATAACAGAAAATCGCCTGACTAGTTTCAAGATGAAATCACAACTAAAAACATCATGCAAAAATTAACTGAAAATTATTGTATCAAAATAATTCAAAATAGAATAAATGGTTAAATAAGTGCTTTAATGTAAGCAAGAAAATTATTTCAGATGCGAGTTTAGAGAGAGGGAAAGGAATAGAATTAGAGAAAGGGATTTCAGTAGTGATAAAAACACCAAAGATAAGTGTATAGTTAATCAGAACAAGCATACATACAGACATACATACCTTTTTCTACTTCGATGTCGTTCTTATTGATATTGTTGTTGTTGTGCTTACTGCTGTTGTTATTACTTATGTTCGGCTTTGTCTCTTTCTTGTCCGATGGTGATTTGGCTCCGCACATTTGCGTCTTTTTCTGTCTTGCTCGAGAATTTTGAAACCAAACCTGTGTGACACGCTTGCTCAATCCTGGAAAATGTAAGGGAAATATTCTCAAGGCTTGATCTGCGTCTATAAATATACATTCTTGTAAGAGATGAAAAATCAGAACTACATAATCCAGAAAAATACAACAGATTAAAACCTTTACATTTTTTTAGATAAACGAGCATCCTTTTTTGCTAATTTGATTGTCGATGACATATGCAACATTTAAAACACGTTTTATTTAGTAGACAAATATGAACGATACAAGAGACTTAACAAAGAAAAAATAGCAAATTTTAGTCTGTCTGACTTGACTGCCAAGGAGAACACATTAAAGTAATTATCCTTTATAAATGCATCCATTTTGCAATATATTTAATAGAAGAACAGGTATGCATATTTTACCAGTTATCTGAGCTATTCTCTCGAGTTCTTGTCCGTCTGGGTTGCTGTCCACCTCAAAATTGGCCTGCAGCACGTGCAGTTGGTCCTCGGTAAAAGTTGTACGGACGCGTTTGACTTTATTTCTAGCAACATGGTCATACTCTAAAAATGATATAAAATTACTTGAATGAAAATATTAACATAGCACTGATGATTATACGCCTTCCGATTATCATTTACTTTGAAACTATCCTTTTTTTTTGTTTTCGAACAATTTTATAGAATATAATGTTGATAATTGTAGAGTATATTAACGTGCTTTATCCTTAGTTACATTCTTGACACTTCTATTACTTAGTTCAGTGAAGTGGACGTCCATTATGCTTATGGTTTTATTTCTTTTTCAAGAGAGAAGAGGATGGAAGAAAATAGCCTGGTATGTATAATGATACTTTGTACAAACGAGAAGTGTTTAAGAGCACAAAGACAAAATTGGAAGAGGTTGTCCAGTTCGCTCTTTGGCCCACCCTTTCCAGCAAAATGCACCTGATGGAATTGAATCACATTCTAAAAGATGAAAACGATTGCATAATAGCACAAAAGGTTATTTCTGCAATACATAACTTGTAACTTTGTCACTGCATCATTGTAGAAGAAAACTGTATTGGGAAAATATAGCAATTTAATTTCAATATTAACAGATAGTTCAAGTACTAAGGACAGACTGCTCTCTGTTCACTTAAAAATGAGTTTTTCAGCAATAAAAATCACACGAAACCGTTTTCGCCAAAACACTTGATAAAATGATGACGTTTTTATATGCCGGAAATTGAACGCCTGGGTGTGGTATTTTAACATCAAACTTTTAGCCTAATCATCTGTTTCGCAAATCTCATATTCAGAAACTTCGGGTCAAGTCTCTTTTACCGTGTAATAAAATTAAAAGAATAAGAGGCCATTTTCTTATCTGAAGTACCTTATAACGCATGCTTTTTTGATAATTTGCGTACTTCGCGCGTATTTCACATAGGAGACAATGTGATGGATTTCCTGTTGATAACTATTTAGATTTTTTTTAAAGCGCGCTTTTGTCAAAACCCTCTCCACTGTACATAGACGTTTCCGTTCCAAAACGAATGCGCTTTTCACTGTGAAAGAAAGTGCCCATTAAAAGCCTATTAAAGATCACTAAACATATGTGCCAAGCTCTAGGGGCAATTCAAAGCCCAGATTCTTTTTAGAAATTGGCTGCCTCAAGTACATCACATTTGTCAGCAGACTGGCAAGTATAACAAAGGATCAGTATATTAGTTCAGGGCCACACCATTGAGAAATTAAGCCCGGCTCGATGCCCACATTATGACAATTTATAAATATCCATTTAAGGGCACAAAGAGTCAATAGGCGGGGTCCAAAGATGGGATTTTCAGCTCAGAAGAAATCACGGCGCTGGATAATTGATTTAAATCGTATCGATTTTGGCCCAATGACATTTGCCAATAACAGGTTTAACTGTGTAATCAAATTTATCTTCTTCTGGAAGTAACAAACGTTTCTCGATACCCGTCTACTTGACATAAATTAGTAGAGCGACGCGGCCAAAAATTAACTTTAAGGGCATTTGCAGGGAATTGATTCAATCCGGCCTACAATGCCGTGCCAGAACCTTTAATATAAAGAAAATACTAATAAATTTCTATCAAAAATGAGGCAGCGTTAACGTTATATTGCCAAAATGATATCCAAATTGTATGCATATTAAATCTCCACGAAGAGCGTTTTGAAATACATTGCACGGTTAAGAGGTTTCTAGCAAACAGTGCAGGCTGAAATATTTAAGTCTTCAAATAGCACTGTTTAAGTACACTTGCAAGGTCCATATAAACCGTACTCTTCGAATTTTTATCTTGACAGTGAAATGTTATACGGCTTCATCGTTCTTGAAATAAATAAAATTGGACAATCTTTTTTTTTTCTCACCAAATTATCTAAATTTTTGAATCCCGGTGTGGACTGAGCAGACTGCAGATTTTGAAGCAATTTTACCCGTGGCAGTCGACAAGAGAGACAGTGAACGTCCCACTAGAAATATGACTTCACAGAGTCATATTCACAAGCAGTCTGTACACGTACATGTGTGCATATTCAACAACAGAATATGAGTTACAGAGAAGGACAAAATGTTCGAAATATTCAACGCTTCTTAAGTAAATTATCTTGGTCTGTTTTGTTATCACTTTTAGGGTGTGTCGTTTCTAGTTTTATCTAGGGTTCTATAATCCTAGTATAGCTAAAAAAAAGCCGCTGTCCAGAAGGAGTCCTGGGCTCCGTATCTCGAAAGGTTCGCTATGTTGCGCACGTGCGTTTAGTGTCTCGATTCCATAACCGATTCTATTTCGAGAAAGGGGTCATGGAATCGAGACACTTGCGCACGTGAGCAAGGCCCCTGCACTTCCGTGGCCACGGGGCGGCCCCAGGATTATATAGAGGGGGTTTCTACTTTCAAACCCTAACAGTATTGCATGGGCATGAGTCAAGTGATTGAAACATATTACCAGACTTTAAAACCTCTCAGTAAACGACGTAGCCATGGTCGGTCTTTGAAAGTCATATTCTACTGTATGTATGTCATTTGTAAATCAAGTAATATTATACTGCTGATTTACTGCTATGTAAATTGATTTTTAGTATAATAGTTTTCATGAAAAAAAAAGAACTTGAAGGTAGGAGGAAAATTCTTCGTGTGGTTAAGAAAGACATAAATATTAGGGTTTGATACTAAGGATACCGATGCTAAGACTGACGTGTTAATTTTACCTCCTTTGATTTCTCAACATATCCAAAGTAATTCATGATAAAACCTCTAAATTTGGATCATTCACTTGGACGGATGATCCTAACATTATCAGTCCACAGAATGTGAATATTTCATAAAACGCAAAATTCTCAGCACAATGTTTCTTCAAATGTAGAGCATAATGAGTTGCGTGTTAATATGTTAATAACAGTACAGGAAGACAAGGGAGGAAAGGAAATCAGTAGGTGGAAAATGTTAAAGCGTGTCAGTTTTCAGTATGATATTTTGTTATTCATAATGTCATTTGTCTTCCATGCAGTTTGATGTACGATATATAAAACATGGCGTTGTACCTAAAAGTAGTTGAAAGAGGCTGTAAAATGCAAAGAGAAGATCGTATAAGTTAGTTTGGCCGAAGAAGTTTTTTACATGAAATGCCAAATCGAAAAAAAAAAGAATGCCGAATAACTATAAATTAAAAGTGAACATACCTTTATCGTCCCCTCCCTCCAACAGTTCCAAGAAATGTGCCTTGCACAGCAACCTTCCCTCGTGGAGGGCGAATTCCTCTCCAGTGGACAACTGACGCTTACAGCTATCGCAGGCAAAGCAGGCCAGATGGAACGCTTGCTCCTTGGCCCGACGGACCCAGTCGTTGGACTGAATGTTGCGGTTACATTTCCCGCAACGAGCACCAAAACGCCTGCAAAATATATATTTTCATCTTTTTTTTTTAGTCATTAGAACACCAATAGAGCGTTTTTGATTTGAAAAAAAAAAACCCTTAATGATAATGTGTACAACCAACGATGAAATACTTCTGCGAACTAGTAGTAATTACGCAATTAACGTATTCACAAACGCAATTAAAACTTTTTTCCGAGAAAAAGCATTGACAAATTTAAAAACAAGAGCAAATATAATCCTTCTGTAACGTTACGACGGCTATTGATTTGTATGCCAATATTTTTAGTTTATTGATAAAATTACTTGCAATCTCAAAAGTGATCATAGGTCATTAAGGGATATGAACAACATTTATTGTAGGCTGATCGCTCTTGTGGCGTTCCTTGACTTATATTGTAAAGCAAACTTAACGCGTAGCCGCCCACCCAAGTATAGCAGTAAACCATCTTATCCAAGTACAGAGACGGGTCGAGCAATGATTCGTGAGTGCGAGAAAAAATTTTCCCTTAATATTAATCTAAATACATATCCACAGTAAAAAAAATATACTACTTACATGATAGTGAATTTATTTTTATAAAAGCAAAATCTAAAAACAATGGTGAATGTTCCATAGCAACGAAATTCCTTAAATATATGTACATCCATTTAAATTTGTTTTCATTGCATGTAAGTTGGTTCCCTAAGAGGATCGAAAGCCAAATCACTATTTTTTTCAAGGGAACTGTTTCCTTCGTTTCTCCGTTAAGTTAGTTCTTGCTCAAACTTTTGCATAACATTTTTACATCCTCTTCCGGTGGCCAAAACAGGATATGTGTCTTAGAAACAACACCAGAAGAGTGGTTTTAATATCAGTAATGATGACAGCCTAAAAGAACGCTTCGGTTAACTTAAGGGCATCGGATGGGTACATGTAACAATAACAGAGCCAAATAATAAAATCAAGAGCGATACATATAAAATAGCAAAGACTCATATATGCATACAGCAAAATATTTCCCAATCTGCACTTCAACTGCGTCAAAAATTGCCTCTCATAATTACAAGTATTGTAATGTTGATAAGCGTGTAGACTGTGGACGTCATCTTGAACTGTGCCTAATGCCTCAATGTAGATTGAGCCCCGGAAAAGGGGACGGATGCTTTTTTTAGACTGACAGGATCCGCTAACCTCAAGGGGCCTCTCAGAACACGTGTTTATTGGATCCTACTCCTACCTTAGGTAGTCCTGCTTGCAGAACAGGCTATTCTCCTTCACGTAGCAGGTCTGCTGGTGATCCAACCGACACTGGCAGACGGAGCAGTACAGGCACTTGGCATGAAACGATCGGCCACACACTCGAAAGATGTACTGGTCGTTGATTTCGTCCCTGCATTCGTAACACATATCACCATTCGTCTAGAAAAAATGAATGAATGAATGAATAAATAAATGAAAGGGAAAAAACAAATGGAATGACGACACGTAATTAATACATATGTGAATGAAAATGAATTACTGAACAAACAAGCGAATGGATGTGATAGTCTATGATCACATTCTAACAAACGTTTTATGTCCATTTGCGTAATTCCATGTGTCCTTTAAAAATGTTGTTTGAAGGGATGGATATCCTGAAAAGGGATACTTCACATATGTTTTATCGGTTACAAAAGGGGAATAAGATACGAACATTCTCATCTTCATTCTCACACGCTAAGCCGTACGTCGGGGTTTTATGATATTTTGGGATAAAACAACGATTTAAGAAACATTGAAAATGCCAATATGATAATGTACTGTTTATTTTTCGACAAAAAAATTTANAATGAAAATGAATTACTGAACAAACAAGCGAATGGATGTGATAGTCTATGATCACATTCTAACAAACGTTTTATGTCCATTTGCGTAATTCCATGTGTCTTTTAAAAATGTTGTTTGAAGGGATGGATATCCTGAAAAGGGATACTTCACATGTTTTATCGGTTACAAAAGGGGGATAAGATACGAACATTCTCATCTTCATTCTCACACGCTAAGCCGTACGTCGGGGTTTTATGATATTTTGGGATAAAACAACGATTTTAGAAACATTAAAAATGCCAATATGATAATGCACTGTTTATTTTTCGACAAAAAATTAACCTTTGAGGATATTTTTCTTTCAAGACAAACGTTATTAATTTTAAGATAGAATAAAACTTTATGAAAACATTTTCTGAGAGAATGCATGCATGTATGTATGAATGTGAGAATGTGAGGTAAATGTCACGGTAAATGTCACGGTAAATGTCAACTGTTGAGGTCTTGATATAACAGACCCACCGTTGGCATAACAATCATGTTCATTATTCTCCATTTCCGCATAAGTACTTCAGTACTGATTTTCAGTGAAAATGAAACTAGCACTCAAAAAATGGAGACCTCCAACCACTTAATATTCTAATTTTAATTTTAAAATCTATTAATCAATTAATGGGTCACCACCAAAATCTAAAATCTAATCGATTTTAAGTTAGCCCATTTCTGATCTTTCCTGTAAATTACATCAAAATCCACCCATTACTTTTTGAAGAATGTTGCTAACAAACGAAACCAAACGGGTCCAGACGACAATCCAGACGGCCAGCAAAATCTACTCATTTGTTACGTGGTCAACTCTCATCAGTGTCTGAAATATTTCAAAATTTCATGAAAATCCTTTTATATTTTTGCCAATGACAGTAGACAAATAGCGGACAGACGCACAGACAGACAAACGGCGCAGGTAAAAATGAACGAATTGCACGCAATCCAAGAAGTGGAGCGTCTGACCTTCCAACGCAAACCTAGCGCAATGTACTTTATTCTCAGTGAACATCTACCTGTTTCAAACACATAATAAAAAATAAGAACTAGCACAATATTTTTAACAATATCATTTTAGTGCATGCTCACTTTATATTTATACAAAATGCATTTTGATAGGGCATAGAAATACACTACACAGATACGTTTGTTCTTGGCAATATAACAGCAGGTTCGAACGAGGAAATAACGGTTTCAGTAGAGAAAATAGTAAACAAAAAGGTGAATTTGAAAATAAAGTTTTAAGCTCGATCATACTAAAATCGTGATGATAGATAACCGTGGCATCCCACTGTCTTCTTACATTAAGTAAGTATCAAATGAAATAAATGTGATAAATTGAAATTAATATGTGGTCTTGTTAATGTTTGATGCACTTTCCACGTACGAATAATTTTAAAAAAGTAAAATCGTTTAAACCGTGGGAAATTACTGCTAGAAATTCTTTCTAAATTACTCAAGTAAGCCATTTCGAATGTATCCATAATTCACAAGCATCGTTTCGGTATTTCAAATGTCTGCGCAATGTCTGAGACATTAATTGCATAGGTTACTCATCATCAAATTTCGTTAATATTCACGTGATATGCCATAAACCTATGGAGGGTAAACGAACGCCGATACTTCAAAACTCANTGACTTTAAGGGCATTTGCAGGGAATTGATTCAATCCGGACTACAGTACCGTGCCAGAACCTTTAATATAAAGAAAATACTAATAAATTTCTATCAAAAATGAGGCAGCGTTAACGTTATATTGCCAAAGTGATATCCAAATTGTATGCATATTAAATCTCCACGAAGAGCGTTTTGAAATACATTGCACGGTTAAGAGGTTTCTAGCAAACAGTGCAGACTGAAATATTTAAGTCTTCAAATAGCACTGTTTAAGTACACTTGCAAGGTCCATATAAACCGTACTCTTCGAATTTTTATCTTGACAGTGAAATGTGATACGGCTTGATCGTTCTTGAAATAAATAAAATTGGACAATCTTTTTTTTTCTCACCAAATTATCTAAATTTTTGAATCCCGGTGTGGACTGAGCAGACTGCAGATTTTGAAGCAATTTTACCCGTGGCAGTCGACAAGAGAGACAGCGAACGTCCCACTAGAAATATGACTTCACAGTGTCATATTCACAAGCAGTCTGTACACGTACATGTGTGCATATTCAACAACAGAATATTAGTTACAGAGAAGGACAAAATGTTCGAAATATTCAACGCTTCTTAAGTAAATTATCTTGGTCTGTTTTGTTATCACTTTTAGGGTGTGTCGTTTCTAGTTTTATCTAGGGTTCTATAATCCTAGCTAAAAAAAATCCGCTGTCCAGAAGGAGTCCTGGGCTCCGTATCTCCGCACGTGAGCAAGTGTCTCGATTCCATGGCCCCGTATCTCGAAATAGAATCGGTTACTGAATCGAGACACTAACGCACGTGCGCAACATAGCGAACCTTTCGAGATACGGAGCCCTGCACTTCCGTGGCCACGGGGCGGCCCCGGGATTTTACATAGAGGGGGTTTCGACTTTCAAACCCTAACAGTATTGCATGGGCATGAGTCAAGTGATTGAAACAGTAAACGACGTAGCCATGGTCGGTCTTTGAAAGTCATATTCTACTGTATATATGTCATTTGTAAATCAAGTAATATTATACTGCTGATTTACTGCTATGTAAATTGATTTTCAGTATAATAGTTTTCATGAAAAAAAAATAACTTGAAGGAAAATTTTTCGTGTGGTTAAGAAAGACATAAATATTAGGGTTTGATACTAAGGATACCAATGCTAAGACTGATGTGTTAATTTTACCTCCTTTGATTTCTCAATATATCCAAAATAATTCATGATAACACTTCTAAATTTGGATCATTCACTTGGACGGATGATCCTAACATTATCAATTCACAGAATGTGAATATTTCATAAAACGCTAAATTCCCAGCACAATGTTTCTTCAAATGTAGAGCGTAATGAGTTGCGTGTTAATATGTTAATAACAGTACAGGAAGACAAGGGAGGAAAGGAAATCAGTAGGTGGAAAATGTTAAAGCGTGTCCGTTTTCAGTATGATATTTTGTTATTCATAATGTCATTTGTCTTCCATGCAGTTTGATGTACGATATATAAAACATGGCGTTGTACCTAAAAGTAGTTGAAAGAGGCTGTAAAATGCAAAGAGAAGATCGTATAAGTTAGTTTGGCCGAAGAAGTTTTTTACATGAAATGTCAAATCGAAAAAAAAAAAGAATGCCGAATAACTATAAATTAAAAGTGAACATACCTTTATCGTCCCCTCCCTCCAACAGTTCCAAGAAATGTGCCTTGCACAGCAACCTTCCCTCGTGGAGGGCGAATTCCTCTCCGGTGGACAGCTGCCGCTTACAGCTATCGCAGGCAAAGCAGGCCAGATGGAACGCTTGCTCCTTGGCCCGACGGACCCAGTCGTTGGACTGAATGTTGCGGTTACATTTCCCGCAACGAGCACCAAAACGCCTGCAAAATATATATTTTCATCGTTTATTTTTTTTAGTCATTAGAACACCAATAGAGCGTTTTTGATTTGAAAAAAAAAAGCCTTAATGATAATGTGTACAACCAACGATGAAATACTTCTGCGAACTAGTAGTAATTACGCAATTAACGTATTCACATACGCAATTAAAACTTTTTTCCGAGAAAAAGCATTGACAAATTTAAAAACAAGAGCAAATATAATCCTTCTGTAACGTTACGACGGCTATTGATTTGTATGCCAATATTTTTAGTTTATTGATAAAATTACTTGCAATCTCAAAAGTGATCATAGGTCATTAAGGGATATGAAAAACATTTATTGTAGGCTGATCGCTCTTGTGGCGTTCCTTGACTTATATTGTAAAGCAAACTTAACGCGTAGCCGCCCACCCAAGTATAGCAGTAAACCATCTTATCCAAGTACAGAGACGGGTCGAGCAATGATTCGTGAGTGCGAGAAAAAATTTTCCCTTAATATTAATCTAAATACATATCCACAGTAAAAAAAATATACTACTTACATGATAGTGAATTTATTTTTATAAAAGCAAAATCTAAAAACAATGGTGAATGTTCCATAGCAACGAAATTCCTTAAATATATGTACATCCATTTAAATTTGTTTTCATTGCATGTAAGTTGGTTCCCTAAGAGGATCGAAAGCCAAATCACTATTTTTTTCAAGGGAACTGTTTCCTTCGTTTCTCCGTTAAGTTAGTTCTTGCTCAAACTTTTGCATAACATTTTTACATCCTCTTCCGGTGGCCAAAACAGGATATGTGTCTTAGAAACAACACCAGAAGAGTGGTTTTAATTATATCAGTAATGATGACAGCCTAAAAGAACGCTTCGGTTAACTTAAGGGCATCGGATGGGTAACAATAACAGGGCCAAATAATAAAATCAAGAGCGATACATATAAAATAGCAAAGACTCATAAGACTCATACAGCAAAATATTTCCCAATCTGCACTTCAACTACGTCAAACATTGCATCTCATAATTATAAGTATTGTAAGCTTAATAAGCGTGCAGACTGCACGTCATAGTGAACTGTGCCTAATGCCTCAATGTAGATTGAGCCCCGGAAAAGGGGACGGAAACTTTTTTTTAGACTGACAGGATCCGCTAACCTCAAGGGGCCTCTCAGAACATGAGTTTATTGGATCCTACTCCTACCTTAGGTAGTCCTGCTTGCAGAAAAGGCTATTCTCCTTCACGTAGCAGGTCTGTTGGTGATCCAAGCGGCACTGGCAGACGGAGCAGTACAGGCACTTGGCATGAAACGATCGGCCACACACTCGAAAGATGTACTGGTCGTTGATTTCGTCCCTGCATTCGTAACACATATCACCATTCGTCTAGAAAAAATGAATGAATGAATGAATGAATAAATGAAAGGGAAAAAACAAATGGAATGACGACACGTAANACATAAACCTCCTTTATCATTTTTTAACCATTCACTACGAACCGGTAAGTTGCCTCTTAGAGGCTCAGTGAGCAGACCGTTGTAGATTATTCCGGTAAACATTTTTGCCGGGAAAGAAAGGCACAAGTTTAGATATTTCGTTTTTTTTATTTTATTTTCTTGATTTAATACAGATTACAGCACGCAAGAACGAATGTTTTTTTATTTGGCAAAACAACCGGTGAATGACTATGCAAAAAGTCTTCCGTTGTTTCATGGTTAAAATTGCTATAATCGATTGTGCACTAAATAAATAAATCACCAATATACATGTACCTTATAATTAACCATCAAGTGTTGACCATAAGCCGTAAGGATGACTTGAGACTACAATCCAGTTTTTCGTGCTGGACGACGCTGTGAGACCGTGATACAACTGGTCTTAAAGAACCTTTGACCTTTGACCTCTCTCAAAAAATTCAAAATCTAAACACCATGCAGAATTAAGCAAATTCGTCTTTATTGATAAATCAGACCTGCTTACATAATACATTGATATATTGA